TCACAGTTAAATCCTCTCACCCACCCACCACCCAAAAAATGCTGGAACAAATAATTTCACTACTTATAAACAGTGGAGGTGAGTGAGAGCCATATGGACTTGTCAAGAACAGAATCTGGTCAAAGTAATCTGATTTTCTTCTATGACAGGGTAAGGGCATGGTGAAGAAGAGCCCTGGCTGCCATTTAAGTGACTTTTAAACATGATGTAGCTGGGATGTTGGGTAGGTCCAAAACTCATTGGATAATTACACCCAGAGTTATCTACAGTTCACTGTTGAAAAGGAAGAGGTTTGCTGAGTGAAGTTCAGGGACATCTGTGCTGGGTCTGGTTTTGTTCAGCAGTTCCATTAATGACCTGGATGATGGAGAAGAATGTGCACTTGCTAAATCTGCAGATTGGGAAGTATCCAGTGACCAAGTTACTTGCCTAACAGCTCTTTCAAATAAGCAGGACTCTGCTAAAAAACACTTCATTGAGTTGCAGTACCAAGGAGATATATCCAGGGAGGTACTGGGGACTTGTCAGAGAGAGAGGACTTGGAGAAGGTCTTCAGGACACCTGCTGTATTTGTGTCCACATCCTGGACCCATGGGGAGGGAGCCAAATGTGGGAGGCTGGACTGGCTCAGCTGCTTCAGGAAGGCAGGTGGCATTTGGGGAGCATGGGACCTCCCCAGGGCTCTCTGCTGCCAGCTTGCTCACTTCGGTATTTGCTGTTGCCCATCTCTGGTGTCTGCAGATTTTAAGGTCTTCCCAAAGTCGTGTCATTTATTTGGTGTCATTGTACAAAGTGTTCTCAGCTCAGAGCTGGTGTGTGGTTTGCTATCTGGTCTGGATCCTACACAATGAATACCTCTGACTGCAGAGACAAACCCCACTATCCTCTCAGTACAGGACTAGGAAAGAGTAGCCTGAACCAACTAGCCACCTTGGAGAGCCATTGGCCACACACTTACATGCACCAGCTGCCTTGTGTGGGTACTGACTCAGTCTGTCCTGCTCAGATATCAGATGGGTCAGGTGTAATATTAATTAAAATGACTGCATGAAAAATCTCAGTTTGAAAGATCAGTGCCTGAACTAGGTCTTGACTTTCCCCCACTGGCTCCAACAGGAAATCATCAGAACCACATGCTGGAGTTGGCCTTCTGCTCTGTGTATTTGGGCATATCTTTCATTGTCTGAATCCTGCAGCAGTCAGCAGCAGTCAGCCTTGTACACACCCGCCCCAACTGAACCTCGTCTTCTCTGTGGGACAAGTAGAGGATCTTCACAGGCATCACAGCAACATGGAGAATGACCAAAGCTGCACAGAAACTGCTCAAGGCAAAGCACAGCTACTCGAGTAGGTTAAAAGGGAAGGAGGAGATCATGATCTTGGCTTCACCTAGGGAGAAAGAACTTTCTTTCCCTTCATAGAGATATCACCCCAGGGAAAGGGACGCTGGCTTTCAAGTTTCTTCTCCAGGCAAAGCTCCATCTTTATGAGAGACACTTCTTGTGGCTTTGCTGTGTTCCCACCTGCACTTGAGATCAGTGTGGGGTGAAGCAGCACCATGGGTGGAAAGGGTGTAGGAGAAGGACCAGCTGTGTAAAGAGCTCAGCTCTTTAGTCAAGGATGACACCAAACTGGGGGGAGTGTCGATCTGCTAGAGGGTAGGAAGAGGCTGCAGAGGGACCTGGACAGGGTGGGTCAGTGGGCAGAGGCCAACGGTACGAAGTTTAACAAGATCAAGTGCAGGGTCCTACACTTCGGCCACAATAACCCCATGCAGCGCTACAGACTGGGGTAAGAGTGGCTGGAAAGCTGCCCAGCAGAGAGGGACCTGGGAGTACTGGTTGACAATCAATTGAACATGAGCCAACAGTGTGCCCAGGTGGCCCGGAGGCCAATGGCATCCTGGCTTGTATCAGGAATAGTGTGGCCAGCAGAAGTAGGGATGTAACCCTTTGTACTCAGCACTGGTGAGGCCTCACCTTGAGTACCCTGTACAGTTCTGGGCTCCTCACTTCAAGAAGGATATTGAGGTGCTAGAGCGGGTCCAGAAGAGAGCAACGAGGCTGGTGAAGGGACTCGAGGGAAAGTCTTATAATGAGAGGCTAAGGGAGCTGGGGTTGTTTAGCCTGGAGAAGAGGAGACTAAGGGGGACCTTATCACTCTCTACAACTACCTGAAGGGAGGTTGTAGACAGGTGGAGGTCGGACTTTTCTCTCAGGCAACTAGTGACAAGACAAGAAGGCATAGCCTGAAGCTGCACCAGGGGAGGTTTAGGCTGGATATTAGAAAGCACTTTTTCATGGAGAGGGTGATCAGGCATTGGAATGGACTGCCCAGGGAGGTCATGGAGTCACCTGGAGGTGTTTAAGGAAAGGCTGGATGTGGCACTTAGTGCCATGGTCTAGCTGATGTTGTACCCTTAGGTCATAGGCTGAACTTGAAGATCTCAGAGGTCTTTTCCAGCCTCAATAATTCTGTGATTCTGTAGAGTAGGAGAGAATTGTGGCATCATCTGGCTCAGGTTATCAGGAAGAGGAGTTGGACTCAGCTGTGAGTCAGGCTCAGTAGAGGAGAGGAAATTAGAGAGAAGGTCAGGCCTTTTCTCCTTCAGGTAGAGAGAAGAGCTATGGCAGAGAAGCCAAACACAATAGCACAGAGGTGTGTGTTTGGTGGGAACGGTGCTGGATGCGAGCTCCAGCGCAGAATGGAGATCAACCACTGAAGTGGCTTTAGCAGTCCTGGCACACAGGGGCAAGGTAGGATCCAGATTACAATGAACGGTTTTGTCTTGTGTGTGCTATGTGTATGTCTGAGATGTTTATGCTTGATTAAAGGCCAGATTGGATGGGGCTTTGAGCAACCTGGTCTAGTGGGAGGTGACCCTGCCCATGGCACGGCAGTTGGAACTAGGTAATCTTTAAGGTCCCTTCCAACCCAAACCATCCTATGATCTTAGAGTGCACATTACAGATACAGTTGTACTTCCAGTAGTAGCTGTTTTGGTGTAGGGTGACTTGGCTCCCTCATTTTGGATTAGTTCAGAGCAAAGCATAATTTTGCTACAGTGAAGTAAGGTTGACATCTGTGACTGCTTTCAGTATCTGCTTGCTAATACCTTCAGCAGTAGCTGCTCCCTGGGAAAGACTGAGGGTTAATATGCTTTGCTTGTGAGGGACCTTTTACTGTGTCCTAGTAAGAATCCTTTCTCGGCAAAGAATTTGCTTTCTCTCTGCATGCTAACAGCCTTGCAGAAACCTGGTTTATGCCAGGTTTACCTGTGCCATTCATCCAAGTAAGCTAGTTTTTTGTGAAGTATTTGGGTTTTTTTCTAGGAGAAAAGTAAAATATTGTGGTTGTGCTTGCCTCTTGGGAGCATGTACCCCATGAAGGGAAAGGAGGCTGCACTGTGTGAGGATGTCCTGCTCCCGTGCTGGATGTGGAGCTTCCTTGGGCTCTTGGAGGAACTCACTGCATCTCTACATTGGGTGAAGCAGCAGGTGCCCTGGTGCATGTGCATCACAGGAGAGCCAGCTCTGCTTTATGGCTTTCCCAGCACAAACTGCACAAGGGCAGGCAAGCAAGTCAGGTTGCTGTGACCGGCCTCTCCCGTGGGGACTGCTGTTTGGAGTAGGAGTGTCTGGAGGGGCTGCCCTGCCCTGGAGTTGCTGGGAGCTCAAAGGCACATCCAGCACGGCATGGAAGACAGAGCCAGGAGAGGCTCAACCTTCCTGCCACAGCGGTTTGTCCAGACAGGGAAAAAGGAGAGGGTTTGTTTTCCCTTTCATACTGTGCTGACGGGTCTTTGCTGCCCTGAGGAGACAGGTGTTTAATTTGTAAGTGAGGAACAGACACGGCTCCTCCAAACTTCAGACCCCTGCTTGGACTTGGGCTGCCTCATGCTGGTGCTGCCAAGAATGTTTGCTCTTGCCCAGGCTTCTGGCACTTGATTTCTGAGTCTTCAAAGGCAGGCTCATGCTTTCAATAACCAGACAGGCAGAAGCCTTAAAGGGATTGTACCAACTTTTATTTTATCTTTTTTTGAAATGGGTTTGGGGAAGGGAAGGAGATGCGCAACAGGGAGCTGATTGTTGCAAAAGGGGACACTTTGGATATACAATGGCAAAGGTGTTCCTGTCTGACTGGAAATGAGTGGAGCAGTAAAGCATGACAGGCAGGACACCGCCTCAGTGGTTGTGCTTGCTTTATGGGGTTTTTGGATTTAAGGTCTATTTTGTAGGTAATCTCATGTACAAAACAAAAAAGCATTGTTTTTTTTAATGTATATGTCTATATATGTATTTGTATATATATATAAGATACATACATACACACACATACTTTATATCCTTACAACTCCCGGTTCCTAAAGGCTTCAAGTCTGAAGGGCCATGTGTTTATATGCATTATAAAGAGAGATGCCAATCAACTGAGACAAGGCTTTCCTTCCTGGCTGTGTGACAAATAAGTGGGCAAGATGTTTTCAACTGAAATCTTGCATGCGTGTAGAGAAAAGGGCTCAGCCAAGCACTGAACAGCAGCCCCACATTGCCCTGTCCCTGGCTGTTCCCTGCAGGGGTGGCATCTGGACACCCGTGATGTCCCAGGGATTTGGGGAGCTCTCACCCTTGGAGGGCTCAGAAGGGCAGATTGAAAGACGCTTGGTTCTGCTGCCTGTGGGTCAGGCACCCCACACACCGGGGCTCCTATTTCCCCATGGGGCTTCCAGTAGACTGTTTTGGTTTCTTTACTGCAAGGGAGGTTTGGTGGGCAAGAGGGGAAGGGGCTTGGGAGGGAAAAGACAGCCAAAATTCACCATACGATAGTTAGACAAATCTTCATAGAGGTCCATCTGCCCGCTCACTGCTCGTTCTCGCTCTCTTGTGCTCTCTTGCTCTCTCTCACGTTCATTCTCATTCTCCGCAGGACGTACGCTGTTGTAGGGCTAAAGGTCTCCTTTTGTCAGGCTAAGGTCAAGTCCCTGGTTGGCAGAGGGCAACCTTTCATACAGGCCTGTCCACGGCGTATTGGCAAGGGCTCAGATTGGAAGCTGCTGTCTGCACCGCCGGGTAGGTGAAGTTAGCGTGCTGCTTGGCCTTCAGCCGCAGGCTGGCCAGGCTGGAGTTGCACGTGTCCCTGTACATGTAGGGGCTGGCTGTTGAGGCATAAGGACAGGCACTGGATGAGACAGCAGAGTTGAGGCTTGGGCTGTTTAGGTTGTTGATGTTTCCCAGGTTGTTGAGACTGGAGGCCGGTACTCCGGTCACCGCAGAAGGGACCATGGATGAAGGCATGGTCATTGAGGAGATGGAGCTGGGTGGGGAGAACATGGGCTGGGAGGAGAGGGGACTGACATTCATGGAGTTGAAAAACGGGAAGCTCTTGGCTGAGAGCGGGCTGGTGGCAAGCCCCTTGGTGGCCCAGTTGTTGTAGGAATAGCTGGAATACATGTCGTCGTAAGGCTGCATCAGTCCGTTGAACTGGGCTCCGAAGCTGTTCTTGCACAGTTCTGCCTGTTGGTTCCTCTCCCGCTTCCTCCACTTAGCTCTGCGGTTCTTGAACCAGACCTGTGAGAAAGAGAGAGAGGGAGGGGATGGGAATTGCTCTGGGCTATCCTGGAAAGGGGCCTTGCCCCACTCCCTTTGTCCAGCAAGGCAAGAGCTGTTAGAAGGGCTGGGGATGCTCCCAAGGAGCTGGAAGGTTGAGCATCAGGGAAGGATTACAGCAAGATACCTGGGCTGCAGAGTCATCTCCCAGCAAGAATCACTGCCTAGATCAAAACCCAACCAATGCCATTTTACAATACACAGAATAACCCATACTACTCAACAAATGGATGCCCTTTACATTGTGAAAAGGGAGGAAACTACTTGCTGTATTTCCAAGTGACCACAGCCCAGGAGGAGGGGTTGGGATTGTGTGACTTGTCATCAGAAATGTTTGGGGGATGTGGTTTGAAAGCTGCTGAGTGGAGGAAATTACCTCTCTTGTTTTGACTTCACCTCTGGACCTGGTTGGGGTGGGCTGTTAGAAGTCTGTCTTCTAACAGGAAAATCTGTTGGTGTTGGAGGGACTGGAACAATATAACTTCCTAGAGCATGGAAGCTGCTGGAAGGCTATTCACGGTGCTGCTAACTCATATTTCTAGTAGCAGAGAGAAGCTCTCATTCCAGCTGGAGCCCTGCCACACTATGCCTGTGACTGCATAGTGGTTTGGGAACCCCAAAGAGTGCCCTCCAGCAAGGCTAAGGCTGGGGGCTGATGGCACTGCGAGGAAGGGGTCTGCTGGGTCAGGGCAGCCAGCTGGTGGGGCTCTGTGGGGCAGAGCCTGGGCTCTGCATCTCCCTGTGTTACTGCAAGGTGACACTGGATGGGGAAGGCACCACCAGCAGGGGATATGTGTGCGGCTGGATGTGTCAAATCTCAAGTGTAGAGCCTGGTGAGGTGTTTTCAAGACACAGGAATTTTCTACTGTTCCTAATACCTTCCTTAGTTTGGGGACAGTTTGCTGGCTTGTATCACACCCGGCTTCCTCCCCACAGGCTCAGACCCAAGAAGGTGGGAGGGCTGCAGTCCTACCCGGACTCGTGCCTCCGTCAGGTTGGTCCAGACTGCGATCTCCTCCCTGGTGCTCATGTCTGGGTAACGGTTCCTTTGGAAAGTGGCTTCCAGCTCCTGGAGCTGCTGACTGGTGAAGTGCGTCCTCTGCCTCCGCTGCTTCTTCTTGAGCGAGCCGTCCTCAGGGTTGGAGTCGTCTGTCTGGTTTTGCTGGGACTTCTCGGTGTCTGTGCAAGAAACAGAAAGATGGGAGAGATTCCCTGAGATAACTCAGGTGCTTGGATGCATCTGGGGAGCCCGTCCTTGGGGCATCCAGCACATGCTCAGTGAGGTCCTCCTCCGCTGTAGCCACCAGCAGCTTCAGCTGCATGCACAAGAGTGGTCCCGTCTCCTTCCCTTGCCCTTGCAAGCAGGCACCCACCCTGCACCAAAATCAATGGCCCCTTGATGCAGCACAGCTTGCCCCCGTCTAAATGTTGTAATGGATGTCAGCTTCCAAGTGACTGGCTTGGGATTTTCCAAACTTCCAATCTCTGGTTTTCATTTGTCACGGTTGAGATGAGTGACAGCAGCAGAACTTATCCAGGCCAGCAGTTTCCTACTCTGCTTAAAACTCTCTCTCTAGGGCACCCTTTAGAAAAACTGAAGAGAGATTGCCACTTACGATACAGCAAAAGATCCAGTAGTGTTTTTGTGGACAAGTGATGGGACAAGGCAAATTGCCAAAGGTAGCAAGTTGAAGTTCTTATATTAACTAAACCTGAAAAGCACAATTTTTTATCCTTCCTCCCTGGTTACTCCTCTACCGTCTTACTTAGGTGCATGTATTTCTATTCTTTAAAAGTAGGAAAAGGCGTCTCTTAGGCCTTACCATGAAGTACTCCAGCATCAACCTGTCCTACTCCTCACTCAGAGATCCCTCTCCTAGAGGCAGAATCTTTCATTTCATTGCCCCTTAAGTGAAAAACTTGAAATTCTCCGGTGTTCACACTGGTATCTAACTGAAAACTTCAGCTCAGCCTCCTACTAGGCACTAAGTCCGGGCTCCAGTGCTGAGTTTTGGGGCACTATGTGGGAGATGGGCAGCCAGGTACTTCCCTGTGCCACAGCCCCTCCTGAGGCTTTCGGTACGCTGCAAACAAGGGCAGAATATAAATACCAGTATCTTCCATCATCAAAAGAAAAATGCATATTTGAGCACTTGGGCAATCTATGGAGGGCAACTAAAGGGAGAAAAACTACAGCTCATGTTTAATTCTGCTGTGAACCAAGACAAGTCACCACAGAAGAAAATTATTCCAGTGAAAATAAGTAACTTCTGATGTTCACCTCCTTCTTCTGATCTAGAAGCAAGGTGAAGGAGTTGCAATCAAAAATCACGTTTTCAGCAGGGAGGGGAGGTGTTCTTTTACAGTGAGAAATACTTGGCTAAATTAAGTAGAAATTATTGTAAAGAGTTGCCAAACTATTTTATCTGGGAGAACAAGCTTTAAAAAAATCTTGGCATCACTCTGCTGAGAGTCAGATTAAAAGGATTTTTTGTTTGGTTGTGGATTTTTAAGTGGCAACTAGCTTTAAAAGCTTCAAAGTCCAGAAAAATCCGAACATGGGAGGTATCTTGTACAGCCTTTTAAAAGCAGGAAGACAATTAAACAGTAATCTGGAATACAGCTGGGTGAGGAAATAAAGGGTTCCTCAAGTCAGATGGATGTGCTCTGGAAAAATATACCCCATAAAAGCTAAATGGAAAATAGAAAGCCTAAGAGAGGCTGCAAAGCATCTGAGCACCAACAGAGAAAGGACTCTGCTGCAGGGCAGTGCTGTGCCCACCAGCAGATGCTTTAATGGAGCCAGGCCCTGGGAGACACTCCTGTCCCAGGAACCTGGTGCCACTGCCCCGTTCCTGTGGCAGTGTTAATTCAGAAACCTCTCAGCCGTTCCTGGGAAAACCCTCCTTGCACCCGCTTTCCTCTGGAGGGAGCAGTGCTGGAGCCATGGACAGCATTTGCAGATGAGATGCTCTCTCTCCATGAAGGAGGGCCTGGCAGTGGTCTGAAAAGATTTGTTTCTGTGGGTGTGTGTTGCACTGACCAAAGCAATGCAGAGCGCCCACAGGCTCCCCACCAGCTGCCTCGACTTCTGCAGCACATTTAATGCAATCTGCCAGCAGGAAAGCTAAGGCATGGAGAACTAACTGGCTGCTGAGAGCCACTCTGAGACAGCTGGAGAGGCCTCTACCATGCATTGGCTCACAGCACCAGGGCACAGACTGGCTGTGCTGAGCAGGAAAGGACTGACTCCTGTTCCTGGTGCCAGGGTCAGCTCGTGTTTCCATCCAGGGTGTACCTGCATGAAAACTTCCCCAGTGCGCTCTTGAAACAGAAGCAGCCACGGGACCTGAACGGTGGAACAGCAGGAGCTGGCTGTGGTCTCATGGCACTCTTCTCATTCCCAGGAACATCCTCATGTGGAGATCTCACGTTTAGCAGAAATCTTGGAAGCATGCTCTTAACGTGGATTTTTTTTTTTATAGCGGATCTTCCCAAGGGGATAAATCTGATTTCTCTAGCTCGGTGCTGTAAGCCAGTGTTGGAAGAGGGAGATTCCTGCATTATGCATCTCTAAAACAGATTAAAAGGGGAGTGATGCCACCACATCTGAGCTAGTTATTAGGAAAGGCTCAGTACAGATGAAGGGACAACATTCGGTTTGTTTGTTCATCTGCTAAGTCTGGGTTAATTAAGAGCCCGATGCATACAGGGGATGTGTTCCCACAGGAGTCCCTGACAAATGTGGATTTCCGAAGAGGCTGCTGCCAAGCAGGAGGCTGTGCCCTAATTGCGAGCTCCTGCTCAGGACTGCCCTTCACACAGGAGGAAACTGTACTGAGAGAAAAGGAGAATGGGGTTTATGGGCAGCATCCAGGTGGAAGAGATCACCAAGTATCTTGCTTTGGGATTCGTCTTCTCCATACCTTCTGGTGTAGAACTTCCCATAAATCTTGTGAAGTCCAAAGAGGTGTGGGAATCCTGACTTTAAGCCTGAAAAATTCTCTGCAGCTACACAGTCCTCTTATTGCCTTCTCCATTTCTATACCTGCTACCTGCGGCTCTTCCTGAACATTGCTTATAGAGAGTGCTATCTCTGTTTCTGCTTCTTTCCTAGGCAGGGGAAAGTGCCTGCTGTAAATGGTGTAGAGCTTGGGTGCTGCAGTGGGGACATAAAGAATGGCAGTACAGGGAAACAAGGCACCCCACAGGAAGGACGGATCCCGTGGGTGCTGTGAATCCATGCTGAGGAGTGGAGTTCAGGAAGATGCAGGGCAGTTCCTCACCTCTTTTCTCCTCATCCTTGCTCTCCCCCTGGCCTGTGCTGCCTGATGAAACCTAACAGAAGAGGAGGCACAAACCACTCCACACCATCGGGGACACACGAGATCTCAGAGAGCTGAGCCCAGACAAGCAAGGTTTGTGCTCCCTTCCTCAGGATCCCTCGCTCTGTGGATGAAGGAAGTGGAGCCAAGAAGGGAGGAAGGAGGCTGCTCTCCTAAGGAAAGGCAAGAAGTGCCAGAAGCACAGCCCTATCCTGTCTCAGGCAGCCCTTGGTGGCATGATCTGCTCTGCTCAGCACCGGTGACATGTGGCTGCCACCAGCCTTTCTGGTGTGAATGCACAAGCTGCCAGCCTCTGCATGCAGGTAGCACTGGCAAACACCCACCTTCCAGGACCATTTTATTTCTAGACTGCTAAAGACAGCGGGGAGTGACGTAGCCAGGCATCCAGCATTTATTGTCAACCCAAAATAGGTTGTGGAATATATCTCGTGCACGTTCGCCCACTCAATGAAACTACTGCAGTCATAGCTGGAATTAGCTGCTCACGCTTAATGGAAATAAAAGTCAGCTCCTAAATTGGCAGTTCTGCAGCGTGCCAGGGTGGGCTTGATTGGGAAGGCCACTTGAATGGAGATGACTGCCGTGCATCCAAAGCAGCTGACGTGGAGCCACTGAGCTTGGGGATGTGCCTAACTAAGGTACGTGCGCAGTGGGGAATTCGTTGGGTGGATTCTCTGACCATAGTTATCCCAGCGTAACTTCCTTCACGACACTTCCTCTGGGGAATTTTAATCTGCGTAATTATGCTTATTAGCTTTTGCACGTGGGTGAGCCTGGAGGCTTTATGTGGGTAGCAGCTGGCTGTCCCCAGCCCTTGCCTCCCCTTGCGCTGGCACTGGCAGGGGCAGCTTTGCATTGTCTTGCTGCATCCAGAGCAATGAGGGATGGAGTGCTCACAGGACAGATGCAAAATCCTAGGGAAGCCATAGCGTTTGGTAGGCGATTTCTGAGCAGCTGTGAATGGTGATGTTTCTTCTTCTGATAAAGAACACAGTAAGTCTGGCGCTTGTTCAGCCTTTGGGAATGGTCAGAGGCACCTCCCTGGGACGAGGCAGCCCACTGCAGAGCCTTGCATCAAGGCATGGGTGACCAGACTTTTTCAGTTAAAGCAGGGGTAAGACAGTATTTCTCTTCATTCTTATGGCCTGAACGTGGAAAGTTCAGCCCAAGGCTAGCCTGCAGCATGGAAAGTTTAAATCTAAGAAATTTAAACAGAGTTTTGTTTTGTTTTGTTTCTTAAAAAAGGGCCATTTATAAAGAGGTGTAGCCTTCCATGCCTTAGATGGGATTTCCCATGTCATAGGGAGAGCTCTTCTCCTCTGAGGACCCAGTTTCGGTGAATACAATAAAATCTTGTTTGGTCAGCAACCTGGCTTGCCTGACTCCTGCCTGCCACAGGCCATGCCTTCTGTCAGCAGTGGCTTCCTTTAACCACAGCCAGGCAGCCCCATCACTGGGACGGTGCTCTTGACCTCCATATGGCATATCCTTGTGCCACTGGGATGGCCATGTTGCCATGGCACTGTGCTGGCTCATGGTACGAGAGGAAGCTCAGTGTGTCCCTGGGAGCGCTGCAGCTGGCTCCCTGCTCCTGCAAGCCACTGGCCACTCAAATCCACCCACAAGGTTTGGTCAGGATCTCTATTGCATCTTGACCCTTGCACTCACCGCTGTGGTCCTGCCCTTTGCAGCTGTGCTCGTGTTGAGGGGTCCCAGAGTCAGAGAGAGACAAGGCTGGGCTGCGAGCCTCCGCATCTGCCAGCAGGTTGAAATCCATGGGGCAGGGATGGGTGGCGGAGGAGGAGGAATCTGAAAAAGCAGCAGGCACAGGGCAATTAGGGAGATGAATCTGCGCATGTGACCTCTCCCCACCCACTCCAGAGGGGACTTGCCAACCTTTTGAGGAAAGGTTTAGGAAAAGCAAGGATCCCTGTGTGATCCTTGGACCTCTCTGAGTTTCCTGGCTGGAAAATGGACATACCAGGCTTTCTGCTGTGCTTCCCTATAAATCAAAGATCATCTAGTAACACTTCTATTTGCAGCCTTCAGAGAAAGAGCTTTCAATTTATAGGTGACATTCAGACTGAAATAGCAACGCCGGCAGCATGCTGTGTAACAGAGATCTGAGGAAGTAGTTCTGGGCCAGCCAAGGGCTGTTAGCACCTTCCCCAGACATCTCGCCTCTCCCATCCTCCTTGCCCAGCTTCCCTCCTCTTTCTCCCTCGCTTCTCCACAAACCAGTCAAGCACAAATAAAGCTTAATGCAGGAAGGCAATCCAGAGATGGTTAATGCAGACATACACACATATCCCAAAAGAGAAGTGTTCCTCTGCATGGCACTTATAGGAGGGTGTCTGCCTGCACAGCCACTGCCATGAGAAGGGACATGGTACACAAGGGCCTCTGGAGCCTGAATTAACATGGGAATTGCATTACACACCCTTGGGTGTCTGGGGTTGAGTGAGCCTGGCTGCAGCAGCAGCTCACTTCCAGCCTTAGGACATCCTGGCTGAAGGTGCCCTGTGTCCTCTCAAGTGCGTCTTTCATGGCCATGAGCCACCTCCCCTGGCTGAAACCATCCCAGCTGGGAAGCGGGTGGTGCTGCTGCCCTCAACTGCAGGCACTACTGGGACTCCTCAACCACCTTTTTCCATGCCTCTCTGTCCCAGGATCAATCATTTTCATCACGCTTTTCCTCTGAGCCCCTGCGCCCTACATCTGTATTGCCCAGAAGAGCTTGGCTTTGAGCACTGCTCTGTTCTGGACCATGTTGGATGCTCATGAAGAGACAGCTGTGAAGCAGCAGGTGGTACAAGCCCAGCCACATCACCTTGGAAAGGCGAGCTGGTCCTGTGTTGGCTCTTAAATCTGAGTTTTGGCTCCTGACCGTGCTGCACACAATAAGCAGCATTGTCACTGACACAGGTGTAATGGTTTCTGAAGGCTGGACTGCTTTGAGGGGATGACAGCAGCTCCTGAAACTCTGGTCACCCCAGCTAATCTCTCACCTTCTCAGCTAGGGAGCCTGTCACTCTAAAACACAAGAGCAGCCAGTGCACCAGGCTGGGGTCTGGCATCCCTGGGTTTAGTGGGGTTTGGACCCAGCATTTGGGATTTCTAAACTGGAAGTGGAGATCAGTTGTGAAGACTGGATTATAGCTGGTGAAGGATTGCCTGACACCTCAAATCCATGCGCGAGGAAGGGAGCTTGCTGAAGCCAGTGTTTCGCCTGCACTGTGCTAGTGTTTAAACATGTAAGCAAGAGATTAATCGCATAGCTGTAGCACCTCCTTTGGAGATGGATGACAGTGACTAAGAATGTATTTTCAGATCTGTCTAAAACTTCCTGTCAATTTGAGCAGGGCTGCCACCGGGGTCCTTGACAAGGCTGATCCCCACACCTGCAGTGTGCTTCCCAGGCCCTGGCAAGAGGGCATGGGGCCATTTCTAATGGTTATCCACCTGGTTTCTGCAGCAGATCTTGCTCACAAAACCCCCAACAGCTTTCCTCACTCTTTAGTCCTCCTTCAGCTCTCCCCTTCTCTTAACCTCCATCCCCAGCCTTTCCTGGGCTGTGACCAATCTGACTCAACACCGGCCTCAGTCAGCACTCTCCAAAAGCAACATCTAATGAAGAAACCCAGCGCTGGTGTCCCAGACCTCTGCCTCGCTCCAGGCTTCTCATCTCCCACTGGAGAGAAGTAGTGGGGCTCCGTCTTTGCCATGAGGCTGGTTTCCATTTTCACCTCATAGCGAGCCTGACCTTTAATGCCCACAGGCTGCGAAAGGTCCTGGCAGCAGCAGGGCACAGCCCTGTTGCTCTTTGCCATGTGTACGAACACGAAGTGATGTGACAGGGGCTGTGTTTTCTTTAATACCTTTGCATGGAGTAGGGGTAGTCCATCTGCTGCTGATATTGCCATGGCTTTTAGCATTACTCTCAGAATTATGCAGAAACGCGCGGTGAATTAATTCTATGGATTAAGTCTTGATTAAGATGTGTGTCACTTTGCTGTCTCAGAATTTATTAAGAGCCCTTCTTGAGGCGGCGGCAGATGGAATTTCTGCCCAATGTTTGTAGATGATAATTTCCCCTCTTCTACAGCCATTTGCATATGATTGCATCTGTCAAGCACAATTTCCTCTCTTCTAGGGCTTGACTCTGTACTGGACCAGATTTAAGGAGGAATTCAAACTCCTGCCTTGCTGTAACTGAAGGACAGTGTCCTCCTGCACAGGGTCCTGTTTGTTCTCAGACTCTCTTTGCACATCTTGTATTGCTTTCTTCAGTGCAAACTAGAGCAGAGTTCGGAAAACCAGAGGGGAGTATTTTACAGGTGGTTCCATAGGTCTAAATAACAACACAAGGTACAGGGCTCAGGGAAACCCAGTCACAGTATTGAAAATTCAGGCCCCATCGTGAATCGTACCAGTACAGTGGTTATAAAGCTGATCCAAGCTGTTGGGAAAAACACAATGTGCTTGGCCTGCCTGAGATGCAGTGGGGATCTAGATTAAAACTGGTTTTAAAGTGTGGTTTGTATTCAAGTTGAAACTGGGATTTGTGGCTCAGAGCAAGTTTGCTTTTTGAACTGAATTTAAAACTAGGAGGAATTCAGAGTGGAGATTTTATATGTCTATACCTAATTACACAACTATTGCATGTGCTCTATGCAGCAGCATCAAGGCAAGACTTCTCAGCTCACTGTGAGCAAGTCCCAGAGAAGCAAAAGCAAAGGGAGGGGGAGTTCTGCTCAGCAGTTATGAAGGACCACAGGAAAAGTTGCGACGAGGGACAGCATGTGTGCTCTGTACCCCATACCACTGACACAAAAGGCTGTAGGTGCTACTCTAGATTATACAGCCCTTTCGGATTTAATTAAAGGTGCTTTCTTCCACATTAGCTAGATCTCACTGTAGGCAGACATTAAGAAAGTCAACGCTAAACCTTCATGGCATTTCTACTACGTTGTTTGCCTGGTCTCAGGGAGTTACCGAAATTGGCACCTCAGAAACCATCTGAGTCTTCATCTCACTTTCTTTTAACATAAAAGAAGGGTTTCTTTAGGGACAGCTCCTGTACCTCCAACATGCAGCCAGGCTTGCTCAGAGATTTCAGTTTTGTAGAACCAGCCCTGGCTGCTGGCCTGCTCTGGCACCTGTAACTCCTTCCATCAACGTATGAAATTGCTCCCAGGATAAAGGTTCCCAAATCTATAGCAAACACTCCTTTTCTTTCAGTTGCCACCCATGTTCGTTCTCTCCCTGGCTCTCGTGCTATGGTGCCAAGCAGCCACCTCTGCAGATTCCTCCAGCCGGACAGGGAGCTGCCATCCCTGCCCCAGAGGCATGGTGGAGGGCAGGGGGAAGAGAGGGGCTCTGGGCTTTTTCTCCTTTCAAATTCACCCTCTTTCTATTTCTGTGTCAGTGCCACGCTGCCCAAGCCAGGGCTATTGGGGCAGGAGGAGAAGGGCACTTTTACACAAGGAGGACAACCTTGTTTACCCAAAAAGAGCAAGCGAGGGTCCCCGTGACCTCTCTCCTGGTTCTCGGTAACACGCTGCTCTATCACCCGGGAGCAAAGATGCCTTTGCTTGTTTTTTTTTGGAGGGGCGGTAAGGAAACATAAAGGCTGACTGCAAGCCAAGTAAGGCTAATTATAGTGGTGGCTTTTGTGAAATGGATGTTGCCCGCTGAGAGCTGCCCTCAGATTGACAAGTGCGTGCTGCTCGGCTCCCTGCACTGCCATCAGGAAGCAGGCTACCTGCTGGCCCTGCTTCAGCAGGTTGATCTGGAGGGGAAAAGCTGTCTTCTGGGTTGTTTTGATGTTATTTGGTTTCCTATGGGCGTGCAAGGGTGCTTCAGCAGGGACCTGATGCTTGGGATCCCTAGGCAGCAGCACAGGGACTGCTGATGGCCCACAGGCAGGAGGGAAGCTCGGCTGGCCGGGCTCCCTCAGCAGAACGGCACAGCCCTGCAGACCTGTGAGCTTCCCCCACTGCCTGCGCCTCCAGCCAGGGCCGTGGTAGCTGCAGCCTCTGCTTGAGATTGCTGATCTCCACAAAGGGTTTGGGCTTGTCCTTCAGGCTGAAAGGTGCTCTGCAATCAGTCGGGGGCTGGTGTCTTTTCTTTCTTCCATCCCCTGAGGTGAAGGTATGATGTTACACTGGTTGTCTTAGGGTCAGATCTGTCTCTTCCTGCTCCATCAATCGCAGAAGTCAAACTGCTGGGAGTAACTAGATTCCCAGTGCAGTCTGGCCGTTACTTCACTCCTCTCATGCTCACGTTCCCTGTGTGCTTAGCAGAGATAAACATTTGGGACTCTATTTAACTGTACATTTTCAGGAAGATGATCAGCCTCTGTATTTAGGTCCCCAGGAGGGGCTCAGCTAAGGTGGAGCAGCCCCTGCCTCTTCCTCTGCCCCATGTCAAAAGAGAAGGGGCTGAGGCTGTGCCTGTCCTCTCCTGGAAGAGCATTTTATTCACCAGACCCATGCATTTGTTCAGGGGACAGTGCCATCTGAGTGCCTGTGGACTGGTACTTCAAGTGCCACAGCCTGCACAGCGACCTGAGAGCCAGGGTTTCTTTGCCAGCCGACAGGAGTACTGACTGTCAGGGGCTCTTTCTCTGCAGCTAGAAAGCAAAAAAGATGGGACACAAGACAAGAGTTAATCTTCACTTCTTCAAGACTATGGAAATACAACTATGGGGAGACTGGGATCACCCACTGCTAAACATCTCAGTGTAGCTTCAAGTCTCTAATCTTAATGGAATTG